TCTCGTCTTCCCACGGTGTTTTCATTGGTTTTTGTTTAGATTCAACGCGAAGACCCAAATGGACGCCGTCATTGTGACGCCGATTTCACAGGCCAATGCTCGGCAGCGAGCCGGTCGTGCTGGTCGAACTGGTCCGGGCAAGTGCTACCGTCTATACACTGAGAAGGCCTTCCGTACGGAGATGCTCCCGTCAGCAGTGCCTGAGATCCAACGTTCTAATCTCTCTAATGTGGTCCTCACGCTGAAGGCTATGGGGATCAATGATCTTCTCGGCTTCGACTTCATGGACGCCCCGCCGGTCCAAACTCTGATTAACTCACTGGAGGCACTGTGGCAACTCGGTGCTCTTGATGACGAGGGACTTCTGACCAAACTTGGCAGGAAGATGGCGGAGTTCCCCATGCCCCCGGAGGTAGCCTGAAACGCTGGTGATGATCATAGCATGATGTTGTCCTTGTCTTCAGCAATCGAAGATGCTACTGGCTTCGGTAGACCTCGGCTGTGCAGATGAGGCGATCACTGTTGTGGCTATGTTGTCTGTCCAAAATGTCTTCTACCGTCCGAAAGATAAGCAGGCCGTAGCTGATCAGAAGAAGAGCAAGTGAGTCCCTCTTGTGGAGTCATTCTTTGATGTTATTTCCGAGACTTATTACGATAGTAGTCAACATGCTCTTTGAATGGTTGGAGTTTCGACATACCATATCAGCAAGGCGACTACTATCGAACCTGAGGTCATTGATATGTTACGCTTCGCAGGTTCAACTCGCCTGAAGGGGATCATGTGACTTTGCTTGAAGTATACAAGGCGTGGTCGCGGAACAGATTCTCGGCACCTTGGTGCTACGAAAATTTCATTCAAGTCAGAAGTTTGAGGAAAGCACAAGATGTCCGCAAGCAGCTTATTGGTGAGTACATCTCCGTAGAGACCATCATAGTTTCGCTTAGGTATCATGGATCGATATCGACTGGAGATCAACAGTTGTGGTCAGGATTACAATAGGCTACGTCAAGCGATTGCTGCTGGGTGGGACAACCGGTCGGTTCCAGTGTTGTTCATCGTAAGTTGTAGGTACTTCAACAACCTGTGTCGTCGTGATCCTAATGAGGGCTACCGAGTCATGCGAGATCTTCAGCAAGTCTATATTCACCCCTCTAGTGCACTGTAGGGTGTTGACCATGGTGTGGTATGTTTGATTGGAAATTTTCTTGTAGATACCAGAAGAATCCCGAGTGGGTTATTTACTATGAGTTGGTCATGACCACTCGAGAGTACATCAGGGAGGTTTGTACAGTCGAGCCGGAGTGGATGCCGAAGATCGCCCCTAACATGTTCAAACAGGCCGACAACCGTGGAATCAGCAGGATGAAAGCGAACGAGAAGATCGAGCCTCTATACTCAAAGTAAGATCAGCTCGACTGGTATTGGATAGTGAGGAAGCCCACGTTGTTTTCTAGGTATCATGATCGTGATGCTCTGCGTACACTGGCAAGGAGGAAGTGTTAGTGAGGAAACACACCCTTTTATTATGAAAGTTGAAACATCATCAAAACTGAAAGAAGACGTCATTACACTGTAGGCTGTTGCGTTACTGAGTTCACTGTGCACGGGCACTATACTCTGAAGATCAACCGTGTTGAACTAGCTGACTGGAAATCCTTCAGTCGTTTGTATAGGAAGCATGCAACGGAGGCACAGCGGATTGACTCCGGGTTCCTCCCGATGTTTCGACGAGAATCGGGTCTCGACTGTCCATCCAACGGCCGTGAGGGTCATGTCTATGCGAATGCTCGTTGTATTGTTTGTGAGTGAGAAGATGCGGAACTTCGTTTCGACAAGGCTGTTGTCGATCAGGCCGTTTTCCCTGTGGGGGGTATTGTTTTAGCATATTATTATGCTGTGACCTATGATCAAGTAGGATAAGGTCACCAGTATTCAGTCGATCGTAAACCTATGTCTGATTAGGTTAGATATCCGTATCTGTACATTTCGACCGTCATACAGTGGGACCCGTCAAGAATCTATGGGGGCTTCGGCATGACTATGGTGAGACCTTCTCAGCCCTTGGGACTATATTGCCTGTTTTTCAGGCCGCGGTTCTGTTCGGATTCTTCGCGTATGCTCGGATGGCCTTCGTAGAGTATCGTATAGAAGCGAATGATGTGTGGACTCACAGATGTCAAACGATTACTAAAGTCTCTACTTTCACAACGATTCTCGGCATGGTCGGAGTAGCGTGTATACCCTTCTATCGCATGCCGGTCACCCACCTTGTTTTTGCCGGGACATTCTTTGTGTCCGCAATGGTCGTTGCTATTTGTGCCACCTACGTTGATTATAAAGTTTCTGGAGGATGGACGAAGATGATTCGGCTCCGCGCTCTCCTTGTCTGTTGCGCATTGCTGTTCTCCGTTATCTTGGGCCTGGTGGTCCTCTTCTGGCCTTTCGTGGGATCAGTCATGGAAGTCCTAGCGGTTTTGGCCTGCTTTCTATTCGTTGCGACGTATGCAGTCGATATGGGGGACTATGACCTGGTTGTTAGCGTGCGACGTCGAAGCAATACAGAGTGTAGCTTCAGTGCAGTTGATCTGGACGGCTTTGATTAGCTTTCTGGTCTTCTACGATCCGTTGCAGTGTTACAGAAGTTTTCTCTCAAGTATGTATTATTCCATAATAGTGAGTGTTTCGTTTGAGATTGACGGGAACTCATCCAGTCCGAATGCAGTACGTATCAGAGCACTTCAACGCACTAGACAAGCCCTGGAACAAATGTCACAGCACATACAGACAACATGTTCGAACAGAAATATCAAGATCAACCGTTGCTTTCAATGAACCAGAACAGTCTCGTCCTCGAGATATTTGAACAAAGAATAGAGACGAGACGGACGATCGAATCACTGGCGAGCTGCCGTTTCCAACCTACTGCTTGAGTCGCGATTACTCGAATCGGTGATTATCAGTCGCTCAAATTCATTCTCGGTAGGCTCACGTCCAACTCCTATGAAAAGCATTCACAGTCAGGGAGCTCATCGTCTCTTAGTCTCGAGTTATTATCTTCGTCCATGAAGATCTCGCTGCTGATATGCGCCTGTTTTGCACACACCGCAGTAATCGGGAAAAGAATCCGCGCGCCTTCACATATTTCACCGGACGGCTTGCCCGAAGAAAGAGGAGCAGTCAATCGCACAGCTTACGAGCTCGAATACAGGCCATGGACGCCTCTCGATGGATTTATGAACAAGAAAACTCTGACAGCCGAGGGAACGCGAAGGTTTGTCGCGATCGACCCGATTGCTCCCTTATCGGACGTGAGTTCCGGTCGAAGATGAATTCCCAGCCTTCCACGTTTCAGAATATTATAGGGTTCGTGGATTCGAGGGAGGAACCGCCTGATGAAATGTGGTTGACACAGTAGGGCTAGGGCCGATCTTCCGCTCACTTCAGCGACAGGATTATCAATGCTCGTTCCGTTTCGTTTTCACGATCGGAAGTTCCGATTCGGAACATATCATATCTTCCTGAACAATTCGACTTTACCGTGTCGGGATATCTGTGATGAACGAGATATATCCTGTGCTCGAAGAACTATGCGCATAACGCCTCCATTCCAGGCCAGAGGATGAAACGCACGCTATCTGGATTCTTATATCTTATGTCGTGGTGAGGGACGAATGGCAGGGGAAAAAGGTGGCCTCGACGATGCTACCAAAGGCGATCCAAGATGTAGGTTTTACTTGCGAGACCATTACCGGAGAATCGCTCGTATGCTGAGGTTGCTATCTCGCTTCGTAGATCCATTCGACGTGGCCCTCGGCGATCGGGGTATATCTTTCTGTGGAACTCAGGAATGAGTTTGCGATCAAGCTTTACAGCAGACTCAACTTCACTCATGTTGCTGGTATGTGGAAAACCTCACAATTTGCATAAGGAATCGTTAGACGATTGTACTCGCTGAATAATCCCCGATGATGGTTCGTCAATTGTGTTTCTTCCACCCTACACCATTTCGATAGTGACTTGAGTCGATTCCCTCTAGTGAATTTCGCAAGCAATTTCTGGTCGTGATGTTGTTGAGCACTACTAGATGATCTGCTCCAATCTAGGCTGTTTTACCAAGGAATCCAGTTGCTGTGATTTAACGGGGTCTGAGGTTCTATAAATTGCTCCGGGGAATCATTACTTGCGTTTGAGATGCATCATATCGCTCTGGGATTTCACTATGTTCGTCAGAGGTTTATTCAGTGAGGTCGTGAAATTGTGAAAGGTCATTCTT